AGGTGAGGCCCCCAGCCCAGGTGAGGCTCCCAGCCCAGGTGATACCCCCAGCCCAGCTGGTGCCCCCAGCCCAGCTGGTGCCCCCAGCCCAGCTGGTGTCCGTGCTGGAACAGGCACCTCTGCGGCACAAAGTGGGAAAATCCTTCTGGAAAGCCCAGCAGGGATCAGCCCTGCCTGGCTGAACGCCCCTGGGATGAGGACCAGGGCAGGGAGGGAACTGGGGACCATCCTGAGCCTCCTCACGGTGCAAACCTGGAGCACAGCACCGGGACTGGGGGATCTGCACAGCTGGAATGTCGCTCCAGGTGGGATATTCCACAGGCCAGCAGAGCACGGAGCACCCACTGCCTCCAGGGGATTAAATAAAATAAAAACGATTAATGCTGAAAGGGAGCGAGGAGCAGAGACCTCATAAGGGTGCACGGGGGCTCAGGACCCCCGGGGGTCCCGGTGCCTTTGCTCTGGAGCAGGTGGGCAGCAGGATGGCCCCTCCCAGCCTGACTCCATGGAACCAGCCCCAGTTTCCAGCTGGAATGACCCAGCTCCGCTCCTGCTCTGATATTGCTGCCATGGGGATCCCGCAGCCCAACGGGATCCAGCACACGGAGCATCCAGGCCCAGCCCAGCTCTCCATCACCACCGCTGCTCACATCAAACCTCGATGTTTCTGCGCGAGAGACGGGCTCTAAATGATCCCATTCAGGCCCTATAAAGCCCCACGACTCCATTCATTAATTACTAACGACGATCCATCTCAGCCTCACTCCTGCCCGTTCGCTATTTTTACCTCCCTATTTCCAACTCCCAGCGTTAAAAAAATCATGAGCCGGGCCTCAGAAAACCTCCTGAGAGGGTCTAAAAATTCACTTTTTGGTCAATCCCTGCCAGGCTCTTTCACCGGTGGTTCCCTCTGGCGGAGCCGTCACCGGCGGGGCTGGAGGTGGCACCCACGTCCCCAGCGGTGGGTGGCATCGCTCCCGCTCCTGGCACACATATGGCCCTTATTAAAAAGCCAAATTAGTCTTTCACCCTCTGGTGGCAAAACTTCAGAGCTCGGATCAGCTGTGGGAGCCTCAATTAATTACCAGCGGGTTGTTCCTATTGCTGCTAATTATGCTGGAATAAAAACACCAGGAAGGCGCGCGGGCCGCTCCGAAAAAGTTTAGGGTTTAAGGGAAAAAAGAGATGAGGATGCTGGTGGTGCCACCTCAGAGCGGCCTGGCCTGGCTTTGGTGGCCTGCCAGGATGTCACCTGCTGGTGTCTCATTCCTGGGGAAACTGAGGCAGCGGCAGGTGAGGAGCCGGGGCTGTGGGAGCTGCCAGCCCCGAGCGCCCACCCGCCAGGCAGCCTAGCCTCCAATAATTAAATACTATCAACAATTGCATATTAATTAATTTAATATCCATTACTATTAATTAACAGGGTAATTAAATCCTTCCCGTAATTAACGCACCACCCAGCATAGAGAGGCCTGGCTGCAGAGCCCTGGTGGAGCCAAGGGAAAGGAGCTGCACAGGGAGCAAGGATGGACCCCCCGGAGCCCTCGGGGGACACAAGCGGAGGGGACACACGGAGGAGGGAAAAGTGATTCCTCAAAGCAAGGCCCTCACACGACATTTATTTGTATTTTATTATAAAAAAATACAGAATCCAAATGGGGGGTGAGAGATCCGGTTACCATCAGCACGACGTCGAGGACGAGAGCGGAAACGTGGAAGGACGGAGCGAGGGAGCAGCACGGGCTGGGGGGGACAGCGCCGAGGGCAGGGGGGGCTGCTCCAGGGGACCCCCAGCCCTCCCCCAGCACCTCCTCCGTCCTTCCACTCTCCCACAGTCGCTGTACACAATATAGATATTTATATATATAATCTATATATATATAAAACACAGACCGAAGGCCAGGCGGGTGCTGCCGGCTCCGCCTCAGAGCCCGGCGGGTGCCCCCCGCATCCCCCCCCCCATAAACACAATGCTTTTGTCACCTTCGGGAACCACGACCTGGTCCGGACACACGGGACAGGGACAGGGACGGCAGGGAATGCGATTTTGTTTTTGTTTTCTTTTTTTAATTACGATTTTTAATTTTTTTTAAATTTTTTTTGGTCATTTTCTTTTTTTTGTAATTTTTTTTTCCGGTGTTTTGTGGTTTTTTTTGTTGGTTTTTTTGTTTGTTTGTTTGTTGTTTTTTTTTTTTTTGGATGGTCGAGATGAGCTTATTGCAAGATTCCAGCTTCCTAGTCTAAAAAATAAAAATAAAATAAAAATAAGATAAACCCTTCCATAAAATCCATTCTCAACAATACATAAAAAAAACCGCTCACAGTATAGCGCTTTATGTACAGGGACGGAGCCGGGATCCGCTCGGAATGGGGCGGCTCCAGCCAGGTCTGAGCCCATCTCCAGCGTTCCCCGGGACCACCGACCCCCCTGGGAATTGGGGGGGCTCTGCAGGATGGGCACAAGACCCCCCCAAGGTGGGACAGCCCCAGATTTAAGGCGAGGAGGGGTCAGACCCCGGGGCTGCGGGGTGACCCCTCCCTGGGGATCTGCCACCCCTGGGGTCAGGGCCAACCTCGGCTCGGGGGTTTGGGGTGGGGGGTTCACTAATTAACGCAAAGGAAAAGGGAAAAATCCCCAAGCCCAGCCCTGGAATGTCGGGGGACAATGGGGGAGCACCAGGAAGGTCCCACACGTGGCCGCCGGCCCCTCCGTGGGGGCTCCTGTACCCCCAAAGCATCGGGAGGACACGGAGCAGGGTGGAGGAGGAAAATCCACGGCGCACACACACACACACACCCCAACGCCCTCAGAGCGATGGCCACGGCTGGGCGAGCCCGGCCTGCCGGCTCCCAGCGCCCGGCGGTGCTCCNCCTCCGGGACACCCCGGGACACACCGGGACACACCGGGACACACCGGGACACACCGGGGACACACCGGGACACACCGGGACACACCGGGACACACCGGGATACACCAGGGACACACCGGGACACACCGGGACACACCGGGACACACGGGGAACACACCGGGACACACCAGGACACACCGGGACACATCGGGACACACCGGGACACACCGGAACACACCGGGACACACCGGGACACACGGGGGACACACGGGGGACACATGAGGGACACAAGGGGACACACGGACACACACGGGACCCCACGTGGCCCCTCCCCCGGCTCAGCTCTCTCCAGTTTGTCACCGGATTTTGGATTTTTACGGAGCTGGCAGCAGGAAAAGCAGAGTCAGCTCCCGCCTGGGGAGGCTCCAACGCTCCCCCCGCCTGGTCCCCCCCGTCCCCCCAATCCCAGAGCATCCCTCGTGCCCGGGAGAAGCTTCCAGACCCATCCCAGGGCCGGACCCAGTCAAGGGGTGCCCCCTCAGGGACCCCCCAGGCCCAGCCTCTCTCCCCCTTCCCTTCCCCTCCGCGAGACGGAACAAAATCCCGATATTATTAAAACACTAAAAAATAATATCGGGAGATTTCCCCGCCCAGCCCAGCCCCGAACGGAACGTGATGAGTTTTTACAGATGCCGGGTTTTATTTGAAAGCCACCAAAGGAAGGGAGGCGAGAGCCATCGGTTACCCGGTGACATTCCGCTGTCCCCGGGGAGAGCCGCTGCCATTTGCTAATTACACGTTAACAGCAGAAGAAAATTATTAATTTGTTTTTTTAAATGGCTGATTTATGCGAGTCGGAAAAGTAGCCACAGAGCAGGGACGATTATTTTTATTCTGGGTTTTTTTTTAAAATCCCTATCTCTCTGTCTGGACAGCGCTGAGGGGCCCTGTCCCCATCCCTGTCACCATCGGGGTGGGACCCAAAGGCCACCACTTGTCCCCAAGCCTGGCAGGACCTGGGGACCCCCCCAGGGACCCCCCAAAGCTCTCACTTACTTGTTGGCCGAACATAAACCTTCAGCTTCAGGCAGGGCCTGTCCACCGTGTTCGGGGGGGACGCGGCTGCGGGAGGAAAAGGGGACAAAGGGGGTGGGTTTTGGGGACAGCTGAAAATGAGGGTCAAGGCACTCAATAAAAATAATAAATATTGTTAAAATAATGAACATTTGGGGAAAGGGAGGAATCACAGTAGTTATTGGAGTGATACTTGCTCTCAGGATGGGAAAATGGGATTATTTTATATATATATATATATATATATATATATATATAAAGAGAGTTAATTTTATTTTATATATATAAAAAGAGATTTAATTTAAATTTAATTTTCTGGTTTTTTAATTAAAGCAGGTGGGGTTTTTTTGCCCTTTTCTTTTCTGTTTTGGCATTTCACCCCATGGGGGGGAAGAAGAAGGTGCTGAGCAGAGGAGGACCATGAGCGCCCCAGCTCCTCCATCCCTGCTCCATCCCTGCTCCATCCCTGCTCCATCCCAACTCCATCCCTGCTCCATCCCAACTCCATCCCAACTCCATCCCAGCTCCATCCCAGCTCCATCCCAGCTCCTCCAGGGCTGTTGCCATCCTTCCATGGGGATGGGCTTTTTTTACCCTCCCATTTTCCTTTTTGGAGCTGCACCCAACAGGGGGAAGGAGAAAGTGCTGAGCTGAGCAGCACCACGGGCATCCCACAGCATCCCATCCCACGGAATTCAATCCCACAGCATCCCAACCCACGGAATTGCACCCCATGGAATCCCATCCCATGGAATCCCATCCCATGGAATCCCATCCCATGGAATCACATCCCACGGAATCCCATCCCACGGAATCTCATCCCATGGAATCACATCCCACAGAATCCCATCCCATGGAATCACATCCCATGGAATCCCATCCCATGGAATCACATCCCATGGAATTGCATCCCACAGAATTCAATCCCACAGAATCCCATCCCATGGAATCCCATCCCACAGAATCCCATCCCACAGAATCCTATCCCACGGAACTCAATCCCACAGAATCCCAACCCACAAAATCCCATCCCATGGAATCGCATCCCATGGAATTCAATCCCACAGAATCCCATCCCACGGAATCCTATCCCCCAGAATCCTATCCCATCCCACCCCACAGAATCGCATCCCACGGAATCCCATCCCACAGAATCCCATCCCATGGAATTGCATCCCATGGAATTCCATCCCACAGAATCCCATCCCACGGAATCCTATGCCCCAGAATCCTATCCCA